CATTTACTCACCAACATACTCTTTGTATTTTCTCACTAACATACTCATTGTCTTTACTCACCACCATACTCTTTGCATTTACTTACCAACATATTCTTTGTATTTACTCACTAACATACTCATTGTCTTTACTCACCACCATACTCTGCATTTACTTACCAACATACTCTTTGTATTTACTCACAAACATACTCATTGTCTTTACTCTCCACCATACTCTGTATTTACTTACCAACGTACTCTTCATTTCATGCATGTAACAAGAGTTGTCTTGCATCTTAGACATGGGCAAACATATATGATGAATATTTAAATATGCAGTATATTTTCCTGTACTCTTTGATTTTATAATCCTTGCACTGTCATCAATATTCAACGAAGAGTATCACAATATTGCACACACTAACCTTTACAATTTTAAATGAATCTGGGTGCTTGGACACAGCTAAATAAAAATAATTTTTTTTTAAAAAGGTAAGTTCACCAAAAGTTTACAAGTGATCATGCATCAGTGATATAAGAAATTAATATGTACATTGTGAATCTAGAATTTCAGGACATTAGTCTTTTAGGTTTTCTAACATAGCAATGGTATTTCAATGCAGGGATTGTAAGGAGTAATTATGAATGATATTAACAACTTTGATAACTGTCCTGTTTTGTAGGTATATGGAGGTCATTGCTAAGACAACATGAAATATCAGAGAAAGGACATTTGAAGAACAATTAGGAAGTAATTAATTTGCCATTGTGCTGCTCTAAAGGTATGCTTGATTTTTATGTTTTCAATTAGCTTTATTATCAGGTAATTTACCTGTAACATGTCTTGTTAGACTCCATTTTATTATCTAATAAATAAATATATGCCATGGTTTTTATTTCCTTTACATAGTTTGATTTATGTGGTAGAATTTATGGCACATCAGTACATTAGTGGCTATATGGCTTATATAGTTTGATACTTAGTGTATATTACATTGGATACATTACAAAGGATATATTACTAAGAATATGTTACTAAGGATATATTGCAATGAAAGCATTACAAAGGATACATTACAAAGGGGAAATTTCTAATATATTACTAAGGAAACATTACTAAGGATTCCCTAATAAGGAGACATTACAAAGGATACATTACAAAGGATAAATTACTAATATATTACTAAGGAAACATTACTAAGGATACACTAATAAGCATACATTACATATGATCCATCATTACAAAGAATACATTACAAAGGATACATTCAGGGGTCTTGCACCTTGCACCAACATTTAACAAATCCCCATATCTTGTTTGTTTTATGATTCAGAGGTAATTTATAAAATCTCATTTGTGGATATGCAAGATAAGTGACTAAAAAAAAGGTGTGTTGGAGTTAAAGATGGTATACCCAGATTTTGAGGTTAATTTGTCTTTCCTTCTATCTTCAATGTTCTGAAATGAAATCATCCCCCTGGGTTGATTACCTGTATATATTTTATCACATAGCCCTAGAATATAAAACATATCAGCAGATGTGTTATAATGTCTAACCATTTTACTACATCACCATCAAGGACTGCTTTGGTGTCCTAAGTGGTTACAGCTTCTGCCTCAATCATGAGAGGTCATGGGTTTAAACACAGGCTGAGTCATACCAAAGACTTACAAAAATAGTACTCACAACTGCCTCACTAGGTGCTCAGAATTAAGAATTTAGTGTTAGAACTTGTTGACCTAGTGTCAGGATAATGGGACTGTTTGGGACTTCATGCTACATGTCTGTGGTATGATACTAGATATCACTGTAAAGTGCCACACTGCAGACATCATTGCAAGATAAGAGAAAATTGATAAAGCTATGTTAAAAATTCAGATTTCACACACATGAATGCACATATGTACACATGCATTCCTACATGCATGTGTGTATATATATATACACACACACACACACATACAAACACACACACATACATACACACATGATCTGCATGTGGAATATATAATGGCATATGGTAATTTTATACATGCAACGAAGTCCAAGGTAGGAATATGTGATGGCATATATATAGCTGGATATTCAGATACACTATTCAATATTATGTTTAGACCCTGATCTGCAGTATAATGTAGTAGACTGCATAATGTAATTGCATATGGTAATTCTACATAGGACATACGGTATAGACCTTGTTCTGTGGGTGCAATATGTGCTAAAATATAGTAATTCTACATAGGAAATATAGTATAGACCTTGATCTGTGGGTGCAATATGTGCTATGATATGGTAATTATAAATAGGACATATAGTATAGACCTTGTTCTGTGGGTGCAATATGTGCTATGATATGGTAATTATAAATAGGAGATATAGTATAGACCTTGTTCTGTGGGTGCAATATGTGCTAAAATATAGTAATTCTACATAGGAAATATAGTATAGACCTTGATCTGTGGGTGCAATATGTGCTATGATATGGTAATTATAAATAGGACATATAGTATAGACCTTGTTCTGTGGGTGCAATATGTGCTATGATATGGTAATTATAAATAGAACATATAGTATAGACCTTGTTCTGTGGGTGCAATATGTGCTATGATAAGGTAATTATAAATAGAACATATAGTATAGACCTTGTTCTGTGGGTGCAATATGTGCTATGATATGGTAATTATAAAAAGGACATACAGTATAAACCCTGTTCTGTGGGTGCAATATGTGCTAGGATATAGTAATTCTACATAGGACATATAGTGTAGACCTTGTTTTGTGGGTGCAATATATGCTGGGATATGGTAATTATAAATAGGACATATAGTATAGACCTTGTTCTGTGGGTGCAATGTGCTAAAATATAGTAATTTTACATAGGAAATATAGTATAGACCTTGATCTGTGGGTGCAATATGTGCTATGATATGGTAATTATAAATAGGACATATAGTATAGACCTTGTTCTGTGGGTGCAATATATGCTGGGATATGGTAATTATAAATAGGACATATAGTATAGACCTTGTTCTGTGGGTGCAATATGTGCTATGATATGGTAATTATAAATAGGACATATAGTATAGACCCTGTTCTGTGGGTGCAATATGTGCTAGGATATAGTAATTCTACATAGGACATATAGTGTAGACCTTGTTTTGTGGGTGCAATATATGCTGGGATATGGTAATTATAAATAGGACATATAGTATAGACCTTGTTCTGTGGGTGCAATGTGCTAAAATATAGTAATTTTACATAGGAAATATAGTATAGACCTTGATCTGTGGGTGCAATATGTGCTATGATATGGTAATTATAAATAGGACATATAGTATAGACCTTGTTCTGTGGGTGCAATATATGCTGGGATATGGTAATTATAAATAGGACATATAGTATAGACCTTGTTCTGTGGGTGCAATATGTGCTATGATATGGTAATTATAAATAGGACATATAGTATAGACCTTGTTCTGTGGGTGCAATATGTACTAAAATATAGTAATTCTACATAGGAAATATAGTATAGACCTTGTTCTGTGGGTGCAATATGTGCTGGGATATGGTAATTATAAATAGGACATATAGTATAGACCTTGTTCTGTGGGTGCAATATGTGCTGGGATATGGTAATTATAAATAGGACATATAGTATAGACCTTGTTCTGTGGGTGCAATATGTGCTGGGATATGGTAATTATAAATGGGGAATCATAATGCAGTGAAAATTATGAAGCCTTTAAATTACAATTATTGAAAAGATGCTGTGGAATTTAATGTTTATTTCATTTTGAGTGCAGTAAGGAGGATGTAATTGCACTTTGAATATACTCGAAATTACTAAATGTGTAATCAACCTTGAGAAACAATGGCATGCTTCTTGTAATTCAGATTTGCAGAACTACAAAAGTATATTTTGATTAAATTCAGGATGTAAAATTGTAAGTGTATTTTTGCCAATTTTATTACCAGCTAAAGAAGACATTTTATGTCTTATATCTTGTGTATTATTGTGAGGACTTGCTCTGGCATCTATAACTAGCCTAAATCTGAATTATTGCATCAAAAAAAGTTGATGCTGAATGTGCCAACATATCATCAGCTGCTGATATGTTGCAGTCCATGAAAAATCTGCTTTAGCCTAGTTCATTCAGAAACAAATTTAACCAAAACATAGAGTATCTACCACACTAGTGTATATTTTTTGTTTACAAAGTAGTTCCTAATAATACTTGGGTGGTGTAACCTATTATGATACATGGGTAGTGATACCTATTATGATATATGGGTAGTGATACCTATTATGATATATGGGTAGTGATACCTATTATAATACATGGGTAGTGATACCTATTATGATATATGGGTAGTGATACCTATTATGATACATGGGTGGTGATACCTATTATGATACATGGGTAGTGATACCTATTATGATATATGGGTAGTGATACCTATTATGATACATGGGTAGTGATACCTATTATGATACATGGGTGGTGATACCTATTATGATACATGGGTAGTGATACCTATTATGATACATGGGTGGTGATACCTATTATGATACATGGGTGGTGATACCTATTATGATAAATGAGTAGTGATACCTATAAGAATACTTAGGTAGTGATACCTATTATGATACATGGGTAGTGATACCTATAAGGATATATGGGTACTGATACCTATTATGATACTTGGGTAGTGACACCTATAAGAATGCTTGGGTAGTGATACCTATTATGATATATGGGTAGTGATACCTATTATGATACATGGGTAGTGATACCTATTATGATATATGGGTAGTGATACCTATAAGGATATATGGGTAGTGATACCTATTAGGATACATAGGTAGTGATATTTATTAGGTTACATAGGTAGTAATACCTATAATGATACATGGGTAGTGATACATGTTATGACACTTGGTTGAGGATGCCTATTATGATAGTTGGGTGGTGATGCCTATTACAAAACTTAAGTTGTGATACCTATTACAACACTTCTCTGGTGGCCTACTGGTTTAGAGCATCTGCTTCAGATGCAGGAAGTTGTGTGTTCAATCCCCAGCTGAGTCATACCAAAGACTTATAGAAATAGTGCTAACAGCTGCCTCATTAGATGCTCAGCATTAAGAGGTTAGTATTAAGACTGGTCAGCCTGGTGTCAGGATAATGTAACTAGGTGGGACATGATGCTATATGTCTGTGGCATGATGCCCTAGTGTTAGACATCACTATAAACTGCCACATTGCAGACATCTTAGTGATATGACTGAAACATTGCTAAAAGCTATGTTAAATTTCCAAATCACACACACACACACACACACACACACACATAATAATAGTTTATGTACAATTCAAATCACACACACACATTACAATACTGATTACATTATCATTACTTATCATTTAGCAGACAATACTATATATGTATCATGATACAGTACATATTGTCATACAGGAGGGATGATACACCATGTATCATGATACAAGCTTGTGCCTTTTCTATTTGTCTTTGGCTGTAATGTCTGTTGTGTTTTGTTTGTGCTGTATGAATATAGCAAAGCTCCTGACTATATATGTCATGACTGTTCTGTTATTTCTGCATATAGTTTTCTTACTAACTGTACAATGTTTGTGTTTGATTTTCTTACTAACTGTACAATGTCTGAATATGGTTTTCTTACTAACTGTATGATGTCTGAATATGGTTTTCTTACTAACTGTACAATGTCTGCATGTAGTTTTTTTACTATGTCTAAATGTAGTTTTCTTACTAACTGTACAATATCTACATAAGGGTTTTGTACTAATTGTACACTATCTGCATATGGTTTTTGTACTAACTGTACAATGTCTGCAATTATTTGATTTAGCTGAATCCAGACATATTTCCAGATGACATCCTTCAATATGAATGATCAGTTTACATTTTTTGTTTGGTTGTTTGTTTGTTTTTGTAGGTTTAAGGCTATTTTTCAGCAAATGAGAGTCAGAATATTTTAGTGGAAGAAGAACCCAAGAAAAGCCAGTAGGAACCATCAACCCATACTGGCAAGCTTTCTCACAGTGGTTAAGCTGGGACTCAAAGCAACACGGACATGGGTCACTGATCTGTAAATGCAACTGCTCAGCCACCCATGGCTCATACATTTTTTTTGTTATGGCAGCCATTTTGGTCTTAGCAACACCTTTTGGTTATTGCAATTAAATCTGCAGATTATATTTCATACCAAAATTTTTAAGAAAAGAAAAGAATATGTAAAAAAAATTAATTGTTCAATATACAATTTATGCATCATTTTATGTAGCCATATCTTACTAACATAGACCATGGGGGCCCCCGAGTGGCCGAGTGGTCTATAGCACTGTCCGTTAGGGATCACTGCCATCTCACCTCTAGTGAGTCTAAGATTCCGCGAATGTGGATATGTGAGAGAGCTTGCCAGTAGCTTCTCGTGGGTCGGTGGTTCTTTCCGGGTGATTTCCCGGTTTCTTCCTCCACCATTAATACTGGCCGCCATGTATAGCCTTTCCTGTGCTGAAAAATGGCGTTAAACCCCACAACAACAACAACAACAACAACATAGACCATGAGAGCTTATGACTTGCTTTAGTTGTCCATCTGTTTTTTTCATGCAAATTTGTTATCATCACTCTTAACTACTTGAAAAATTGCCATGAAGTTTTCTTATAGCTTCTTCTCTTAAATTGCTGGTCATATCACATGGAGTTTCCGTTAAAAAAACTTTTTGTTACTGTATGTCTGGTTGATCCTAAAAGACCCTGGTGCCAATCTCTTATCACAGCAGGCCTCTTGAAAAGTTTATCACTTAACTCCTACTGTCAGGGTGTTCTCACACGATGAATTATTGGATCTTGTTGGTTCTAAATAAAAATGATACAGATTCCACATCCAATACAACCACCACTGTGATCATCTTGAAAATGTTGTTATGGGTACTCCTCCTAATGGATGGTCAAATCATCATGGGGTTTTAATTAAATGACTCTTTGGTTGGTCTTAAATTAAATTGGACCTCCCAGATATCCTGGAATAAGGTCACCACAGTGGCCATCTTGAAAATCTTGTTATGACCAGTTCTCCACAAATGGCCATAGCATCATTGTGTTTTACAGAAAGACTTTTTATTATCTCTAGCTATTTGTAAATGAAAGATTTGACTTTCAATATGGCCACTACAGTGGCAATTCTTTTAATGTCTGTTACATGTACAATGTATGTTACAAATACAGTGTTTGTTACATTATACAGTGTATGTTACAAACACAGAATGTTACAAATATGGAGTATGTTACAGATAGTGTATGTTGCAAATACAGTGTATGTTGCAAATACAGTGCATGTTACATATACAATGTATGTTACATATACAGTGTATGTTACAAATACAGTATATGTTACAAATAGTGTATGTTGCAAATACAGTGTATGTTGCAAATACAGTGCATGTTACATATACAGTGTATGTTACATATACAATTTATATTACAAATACAGTGTATGTTACAAATACAGTATGTAATAGATGGGGGAGGGTATTGGGTAACTTGTGTAAATGTAATAATAGATTTAAAGAAATGCTGAAAGTCAGGATTTTTTTATTTTTGACTATGAAATAGTGGTAATGTACTTAATAATAGAAATATGACTAAAACATGAATTAATGTGTTTAGTTATGTGTAACATATGCAATACATAAATGCTATAATATGCTGGCCTTCATAATATTAACTGTACAATGACTGCATAATAAAAAAATTTAATTTAAATTATTCATGCTGTATGTCAAGTGTGATCACTGGTCATGTAATAAATAAATTCCTTTGAATGAGGGCCTCAAGGTAGATTAGTTCTTAGCTAATTGAGTTACCTTCTTTAAATAAAGTCATAATAATGTGGTAACAAAATGTGGTTTAACCTCACACATTGTTAAATACTCATAAAATCTTCTGGGATCTTATGTTATATGAATTTCTTACACCCAGAAATATCACACTTAAATTCCCATCCAGATCATCATTTGAATAGCACTAAGCTACAGATCTCATCGTAAGTAAGTTGCGATCTATACATTTATATTGCATACATAATGTATATTTCATACTATGTTCAAATTCATTCTTTCAGAACCTTATATATATTAATTGACATGAACTGTTGAAACTATGACATAAAAAAACCTATTCTTCTCATCCATCATATTAACCCTCAGGTCTGTTACAAGTACAAAAAAATACAGTGAACATTACAAATACAGTGTACATTACAAATAGTGTACATTACAAACACAGTGTACATTATAAATACAATGTACATTGCAAATACAATGTACATTACAAATACAGTGTACATTACAAATACAGTGTACATTATAAATGCATTACATGGCACTTTTATAACCTCTCCCAAAAACAAAAAGAAGGGCTATTTCATAATTATATTTATCAATACTCCCTTAAGGAGCAACAGGGATAGCTATTGAATAAATCATCTCCACAGGGACTGACCATTACTTTGGAGAGGAGGGAGATTTTCTATGGAAACTGAATATTATTATTGTTTGTTTACCTCAAGGTAATTTTTATTTTAAAAAAGAAGAACTAATAAAATGGATATATTTAGTTTTCTTTTTCTGAAAATCAGAGCAATAATATTTTTTCAAACTGAGAGCTGGAAATTGTTTAATTTTTAACAAAATCCCAGGGCATCTACTATACCCTGCCTAGATGAAATGGTTGGTCCCTTGAATGAATGAATATCAAATTTTGACAGGTTAATGATATCATGGATGATATCAGCTTTGTAATTATATATTATCATCATATTTTGAAAATATGAATATATTATATCATTGTCATATTTTGAAAATATGAATATATTATATCCATTCATGATCAGGAAATGGGAAGTATTGTGTATAATTTTGTACAAACATCATTTTACATGGAGCAAAAGGTTTTCATTGTTAATTTTGTTAATACACTGTATTTAACTTGGTGAAGGAATTGAATTCACAGGTTTTACCTGAACTATATGGAAGATCACATAAAGGTATTGCAGCTCTGTTCAGATGTATCATTTGTATGATATAATGGGTGATATCACCTGAACAATGGAATGGGATATACCACCTTCACAATAGAATAGAGTGTATCACCAGTACATTAAGGTGGGCAATATCACCTGTGCAGTAGAATTGGCTGTATCACCTGTATAGTAGAATGGACTGTATCACATGCACAATTAAATGGAATGTATCACCTGTACATTTGGATGGGCAATATCACCAATGCAGTAGAATATGGAGCAGAATGGATTGTATGGAATGTATTGTATAATGGGCTGTATCACCTGTGCAGTAGAATAGACTATCACATGTATAGTAGAATGGGATGTATCACATGTATAGTAGAATGGACTATCACATGTATAGTAGAATGGCCTGTATCACATGTATAGTAGAATGGACTGTATCACATGTATAGTAGAATGGACTATCACATGTATAGTAGAATGGGATGTATCACATGTATAGTAGAATGGGCTGTATCACATGTATAGTAGAATGGGCTGTATCACATGTATAGTAGAATGGGCTGTATCACATGTATAGTAGAATGGGATGTATCACATGTATAGTAGAATGGACTGTATCACTTGCGCTGTAGAATGGACTGTATCACATGTATAGTAGAATGGGATGTATCACATGTATAGTAGAATGGACTATTACATGTATAGTAGAATGGGATGTATCACATGTATAGTAGAATGGACTGTATCACCTGTGCAGTAGAATGGACTGTATCACATGTATAGTAGAATGGACTATCACATGTACAGTAGAATGGACTGTATCACATGATAGTAGAATGGGATGTATCACATGTATAGTAGAATGGACTGTATCACATGTATAGTAGAATGGACTGTATCACCTGTGCAGTAGAATGGACTGTATCACATGTACAGTAGAATGGACTGTATCACATGTACAGTAGAATGGACTGTATCACATGTACATTTGGATGGGCTGTATCACCTGTGCAGTAGAATGG